TACAAGATAAATTAAATTAATTTTTTTTGGCACTTTCGTTTTTTGCGGTTATCTTGGAAACTATGAGAGATAGAGCCTTGAAACCTATTCCAATTTCTATTTGAGTTCCCTGAGGAACCCAAATTCCCTCAGGAATCGAATGGAATAGGTTTTAAAGCGCTATCTCTCATAGTTTCCGAGATAATCGCGGAAAACGAAATCGCAAAAAAAAATTAATTTAATTCATATTTTATAGGCTGTAGGAGAAGGAAAAACGCAATTCTGAGCCTTGTATCTGCGTATAGGGAACCCAAATTTCCTCAGGAATCGAATGGAATAGGTTTTAAGGCTTATCTCTCATAGTTTCCGAGATAATCGCGGAAAACGAAATCGCAAAAAAAAATTAATTTAATTCATATTTTATAGGCTGTAGGAGAAGGAAAAACGCAATTCTGAGCCTTGTATCTGCGTATAGGGAACCCAAATGGCATATGACGCCTTTACTTCGTAATAACATTCATAGACGAGTCCGATCATTGTTCTTCTTCACGGTTAAGTGGGCCCTTTCCCACCCCGTCAAGTTGACTATAGAAATTTACTGCTCTAATGAAAACCGGGAGCATACCCAATTAGAAGTTAATATGTCGATTTTTCCAAAAGTTAGAGTACGCACAAGCATTTGGAGAGAAAAGCCGAACAATTACGATATCTTGGAAATTTTGCCTGAACGGGTATGGATATCTTGATCGATTAAAATAGAGGACATTGAGACGAATATTTTGAAAAAAAATTATTGAAATCGGTTAGACAGTTTTCGAAAAATTTCCAAAAAACCATTTAGAAACGAATGGAGATTTCTCCACAACAGCTGGCCCGATTGGGCAGCACCTTAGCACAGAATCCTTATTCATACCTATATCCTGACAAAATTTGACAAATTTTGAAATTGGTTGGTCCTTTAATTCTTCGATTTTCCAACAGTTGATTACCAGAGGTGGACACTCGCTCATACACGCATGGCCGTAAAACTTCGGTTTTTTACGTTTTAGACCATTTTACATCATTTCCAAGCAAAATTCGAAAATTAAAAAATAGAATCATTTCAGTGCTTTCATGAAATGAAATAAAATTTGTTGAAATCGCGCCAGTCATTCTCGAGATATTGACGGTTGAAAAATGTCAACTTTCAATTGTAAATTTTAGTGACTCACCGGGCGTTGAAATCCTCATCTAGACGTCGATATGCTCTCCAATGCCTCCAGAAGCTCTTCCCCGTGAAGATCACTTGCACTAAACACTTTCGAAATTAAAAACCGCACTAACATGACTGAAACTACCATCTTACGTATTTATACACACATCGACAAAGAAATTTCCGAGAGCACTTTATCACTTGATTAACAAAAGAAAACATCATCACAATTCACAACACTAACATTCTAATAAATTCCTGTGTCCACTGGTTTCACTCAATAACTAGGTTTATCACGTTTTGAATTTTTGAAAGAGTCATTGAATCTATCAAAACTGTCCACAAACACTGGATTTGTCCAGAATTGCCTCCAGGCGTCATCTCGTGGTGTCACAAATACGTCGGTCACATGGAGATTCCAGATTTTCACCATTCGAGACGTTCATATCGTTTTAAATTTCGTAATTTATCGAACTATGCAACCATTGCCTTGCACCATTGTGACTGGCCATTATTATTATTAATTAATTAATTATCAGATTGTTAATTACTTTCGGCGATTTTACGAGTAATTTCTTCGACAATACTGCGGTCATCGCCAAGGAACATCAGGGCAGCCACTTTTAATCTGCGCAGAGACGTTGCGCAGACGTTTTTATTGTGTTCTCATGTGCATTTCTGTTTTTGCGTTTTAAAACCCGCAATTCATCGAAATAATCGTTGATTTGATTATCAAATTATTGTTCTCCATTATTATAAACTAATTACAGCTTTTTTAAGTATTATTTTAATGATTTTACCCTTGATTTCGGATAAAATCCGGAGACGAACGCCGAAGCCTCGAGACTAGTCGGCGATTTTTGTTGTGCGCAGACATGTTGCGCAGAGATTTTTCCCATTCTCTCCTGGCAATTTTTGTTTTTACGTTCCAACACCCGGAATTCATCGGAATAATCGTTGATTTCATGACCAAACTATTGTTGTCCATTGTTGTCAACTAATTATAGCATTTTTAAGAATTATTTTAATGATTTTACCCTTGATTTCGTATAAAATCCGGAGACGAATACCAAAGCCTCGAGACTAATCGGCCATTTTTTATGTGCGCAGAGATGTTGCGCAGAGATTTTTTCCATTCTCTCCTGGCAATTTTTGTTTTTACGTCATCACCAAAGTGCAAGAATGACGGAAAAAACGTGGAAAATCAGGAAAAACAAACTGAATTAAATAAACTTTACATACATTTATTTTTAATAGCGTTTCATATTTTCGAGAATTTTGTTACATTATATAAACATAGACATTTCGTTTTTATTTTTGTTAATTTTATTATTAATGCTAATTTTTTTACCTAGAATTTTTTATTCTTAAATCGTAGGATTACTATTGGGTAAATTCCTATGCATGCAGTATTCCATTGTTTATTTGGTAAAACGTGCGTTGTGATTGAATAACACATATTTCCTGTTTTGCTTTTCATTGCTCTTTCATCGGTGTTTCGTATCATTTTTATTTCCCCATGTGTAGTACCATCGTATGTTCTTTAGTAAAACCATTGAAACTCCATACTTTCATTCACTTTCAATTGTTTTATCACCCCTACATTTGCGCAATCTTTCACTTATATCTCTAACTCTTATCCCATTGTCATTGAATTCGTTCTTCTAAAATTGTCAGTGACTCTCGTAAACTTCATTTATCTCTCATCTTATTTTTCTGAGGATGAAATTACATAGCGGATACAAAATTTCTTATCAGCGAGTGTTTTTTTTCCTGCGACAAAGGAGTGAGAAAAGATGAATGAAAATAAGTTCTGAAGATTATTTTGTAAATATATCTGGAACCATTGGGACTGAATAAAAATGTTGAAAGACCATTTTTGGGGGGCAATAATTTCCCCTTAGAAAAATTATTCAACATTTCTCCCGTCAGTTTACATTTTCCAACATATTTGCAAAAGACTAGAAATCTATTTTGAAATCACCTTCTGTCACCCCTTCCCCACAGATTTCTCCCTCTTTTATACAAAAATGAAACACTTACAGTGAAATTCGATTGCGAATAAGTATTATTAGTTACGTAGGAGTCCGAAGGAAGCACAATCCTTGATGGCTTTATCCATTTTGTTCACTATTTTCTTCATCCGTTAACTTAGACACCTATTCCCAGTTCCGTTAGTATTATTGTCCACAAAGACGTATCTATCATTGTTTCACCTCCTTCCCTCTCGCGGTCAGTTAATTCAATTAATTTATTAGATACGCTTATCTTCAACGTCTCATTGTTTTCTTCTTTAATTGGTCAGAATCGGGTTCTTTTGTTGTTGTAATGACAGAAGTGACAGTAACCTTAACTCTTTACGAATAATGTAATATGATTTTCGTGTAGCCAGCTGTGTGAAGATAATTTAATTGAAAATTAAAACTAAAATGTTAATAGTTGTAAAAATTGATAGTACAAAATAATAATTGGTTGTAGAATATCTTAGACTATTAATACCGCGAAAAAGAACATTGTACAGTAAAAATTGAACTTAATAAATTATGAGTATAATACATCTATTGTTGCGCTCTGCCGTGTTTCTCTGTAAATTAAAACAATTATCGTAAGAGTATTTAGATACAATTTCTCTTTACTTTACTTTCAATATTTTTTTTTAGTTTTTCTTTAAGTAAATAGATGTATCAATTTTTTTAGTTCATTTTTATTTATATATAAAAAAGAGAGAATTTCAAAGACGATTTTTGCTAAAGAAAAATATAATTTATGGGTAAATAGATTTTTTTTCATTTTTTTCGATTTTTAGAATTATTAAAAAAAACCATCGTTGATGATGAATAAATAAGGGATAAATATTGGCAGTGGGTGATGGTTTGATGGGATTGGATGAGAAAAATGAAATTGCTGTGCAAAAACGATTCAAGTTGATTTCAGAATGATTTCTTTCTTATGTTTGTTTTATCTCGGCAACGAATGGTTCCAGAAAAAATGTCATGAAATCGATTTTGTAGTTGAGAAAGTTTGCCACCGAAAGGCTTTTATGATGACTCCCCCCAGAACACTTTGTTACTGAGATAATTAGACAATCAATGAGTGGGAAAGCAATTTCAGTTGAATTCTTATTTTCGGTTCATTAAGCGGTTTGAGGAATGAGTTGTGTAAAACGTCAAGACCCTTTTTGTCAATGAGAATTATCCTTTCGAAAGAGATTTTTTGACATTCTGCTCCCGAATCAATCCATAAAAAAAATTAGGCGTATTTATTTCATTTTTCTTTCATTCTTCTCGACTTCTGCAGATGGTTAATTAATTCCCCTAGCCATTCACTGCCTAAACATACATCTCGCATCATCGCACCTTAATTTTTCAATTCCAAGGCAGGAGAGCGATGTCACTTATTTAATGAATCAAGTGAATTTTCACACATAAAGCGTTCAAATGTGTTTAAAACAACAGGTGAACATTTATCAAAGTCAGTAGTAAAGTACTGAAAGACGATAAGTCAGAGCTCATATTGATTTACGAAATAACTCACATAAATTAGAACGTAAAACGTTGAAATCTGAAATTCAGAAGTTTCACGTTATTAGTGAAACGTGAAACAAAATTATACTTCTTGAGAATGAGTGGTTATTTGAGAAAAATGTCAGAAAACCTGTTTTTGTAGTCAATTAAATTTCCTACAGAAAATATCTTCTGAAATCTTTCTCTTAATTCACTAAGTTTAGAGGTATTAATCTCAATAATTTTTAATTTTCTTGACTTGTCTGTTTCCACCACTTTACTACAGAAATTAGACAATAACAATTTACTTCAACGTGACTCTTCACGATTTATCGTCCTATCCTCACGAAGGATAAGACGGATGATTAATTAATAAATCAAGAGGGTTCAGATGTGTTTAAAACAACAGGTGAACATTAATTAAAATCAGTAGTAAAGTACTGAAAACCACCAAGCCAAAGTTCACATTAATTTACAAAATAACATATAAATTTGAAACATAAAATTGTACGTTAAAATGTGGAATTCAGAAGTTTTACATCTATTTGCTGAATAATCTCTAGTTTTCTTGACTCACCTGTTTCCACTACTTCACTACAGAAATTATACAATAACAATAAACTTCGACGTGACTCTTCACGATTCATCGTTCCATCCTTACAAAGTTATGCACTCTATTAAAGAGCATTATCTCACCATACTAAAATCGCTCGTACCCACGCCTGCATTAGAAAAGAATATGGATACCCACGAATTTACAATTTTAATCCTAAAAAAATTTGTTTATCTCATACAAATATTCCAATATGCATATAGATACTCGAATACCGATTATTTATAGCTATGTTTAGTTATTATTACTTAATAATACATATCACACTGAGCCGGCTGTGTGTGTCCATCATTTTTCGCCCGCACTGCGTCCACTCACTCAATTAATTAGCAGTTATTCTTCGTTTCTTTTTGACGTAGAAATTCATAAAATGGGGTTTTTACTCGGTGTTTTCGTTGACTTCAGCTGAAATGCCGGGTGTAGGCAGTTGGGGAGTCGGGCAGTTGTGCGGCTGTATCTTCGCTGTTTTTTTTTGGATATTTAGTAGCATTTGCGAGTGCAGGTGCACTTGCGAATTAAATCTACATCCTTCGTGTAGCGTCTGCCATCATTGCAAATTAGACGAACCTGGGGAAAATGCAATTGTGAGTTATAGAGAGTTATTTTTGTACTTTTTCTTGTTACTTTTTCCATGAATCGTCATTTTGAGTGATTTTTGGGGTCAATTTCTCGTTAACCCTCCAAGTCTGGCATCTATATCACATACACTGAGAAAAAAATGTTTCAAAAATTAGTGTGCTACTCATCAATGCTGGGACATAACAGGGGGTCATCGAAAAATTCGAATGTGGCACCCCAATTTTTAGAGGGACTTGCGCCACTACTTTGCGCGATGCCCGTAAAACTTAGGGTGCCACATACGAATTTTCTGGTGACTCCAGGTTATGTCCCAGCATTAGTGAGTAGCACACTAATTTTTGGAGGGACTCTCACGGAATTATGGTGTATTTTTCTCTCCGTGTATAGACTCACGCGTGAATGCATGCCTCTTTTCAAAGTTGAATATTTTCGAAAATATAGAATTTCACACTGAGAAAAAAATTGACATAATATGACAAAAATGATTTCTTGAGTGGAGAACATCGCATGGATATTCGATAAATTTGGTAGGTTTCAGTCAAGAAATTGGTACTCATCGGGCTAAAGAAGGCGGATACTGAACCAAAAAATGATATTTTTTTCTGGAAATTAGATAGGGGAGAGTGGAGCAAAATGAAACAGCGGGGCAAAGTACAACAGCCATAAAACGACTATTTGATGAAATTCAAGCAAAACAACATTTTTTTTGTCAACTCATGTTTATTAACTTTTTTTATTATTGGGAGTATTGATGAGAATAATGTTTTATTCGTCTTATAATTCAATTGATTACAATTCAATTGATTAGATTAGGCAGATTACACTTTTTTTCCATTTTTAGGAGGCAATTAATAATTCTAAAAAATGGACTAGACTCTAGCATAAAATATATGAATCAAAATTCTCATTTATCTTATTTATCATTATTTGACTATTCTAATCTTTCATTATTTTATTTTGTTCGTATTAGAAATTCATAATTTTTCAGTAATAAAAAAGCCCCTTCAATTCAATTATTAATTTGTCAAATTCCTGACAACTGCTCAGGCCAATTCACTGTTATCTCAAGTTCACGCACCTGATAACTGTTAAAAAACCTCTTAAATGGGCAAACTGTTAAGAAGGGTGTATTTACCTTGCGACGTTTAGTTTTGCGTGGCAGGCAACAAGAGTTGCCACAGCTGCCCCAGCATTTAGCCAGTTTCACAGGTCGTCGACTGCGACAGCCGTTCTCGCTATAATACTCTCGTGTATGTTCCTTTCTGCATGTTGGCGCTATAGAAAAACGATATATTAGGATTTAATGATTCATTTTATTACCTAAGCCAAATTCAGAGCTAGAAAATTCCTCATGGAGGTGGATTAATATCATTTCAAAACAAGTTGGCAGAAAACAAATCGGAAATTTCACAGTATGATGACAAAATCAATGTCAACTATTTCATGAAAATTAGCAGAGATCAGGAAAATTCTAATAGATATATTCTTCAATCTATCTACATTATATAAATCCAAATCGACTTCTGGTGATGAAAATTTGATCCTCGAAATTAATACTCTTATGGAATAAATTTACTGCATACATAATTTTATGTTGACGATTTATTTGGTTAACAGGGCTCGGTGCAACCGGCCCAAAGTAGTTTTCTATAAAAAAAATTATCAAAAATTTTATTTGCTATTCACCTTTCTCGCAGTATCGCCCCTGCCACCCAATTTGACAGCGGCATGTGTATCCGTTGCCAAAGGGTGCTGGAACGCACTGAGATCCTTTACGACACTCGTGTCCAGTACAGGGATCGACAATACTCGCGCCTGGTAGTGCTACAATTTCTGAAATCGAATCAAAACCCTTCATGAATTAATTATCTCCCCATGGAAGGTGATAAGAGTTCTTCCAAGAGTCGTGATTTTTCTACTCACCAGAATGGTCATGCACAACGTGCTCGTGTTGGAGAGAATCGTCAAGGTTGTCCTCTTTGATTGGCAATGGTGTTGCAGGTTCTTTCTCAGCCTCGTCAGCCTCTTCGTCGTTGGCAGCACATCCTGGAGTCACTCGGTGCATCTTTGCTGCATTGCTGAAGTCCACCATTTTGTGATTTATCCACATTCCTGAAATGCATCCTAAAAAGAAAAAATCCATTGATTATTTGAATCATTTTCATTATCAATCAATATTGATTAATTTGTCTATTTAATAAAATTTCAAAAGTTGTCTGTTTTCCTAAATTTACTCATTATCAAAATAATTAATAATTAATGAATGGAGAGATAGATCGAGTCACGAAAGCTTTTTTTCAATTAAACTTTCCATGAAAATACCTTTTGACATTTTCATTTAAATCTATTCAATAAAATTTCAAAAGTTGTCGGTTCTCCTAAATTTACTTATTATCAAGATGATTCGATAATTAATGAGAGATTAATGGAGATAAATCAAGTCACGAAAGATTTATTTTTTATTTTTTTTCCCTGAGATTTATTCAATAAAATTTAAAAAATTGTTTGTTTTCCTAAATTTATTCATTATCAGAATAATTCAATAATGAATGGGGAGATAAATCGAGTAATGAGAGCAGTTTTTTTCAATTACATTTCCTATGCAAATGCCTTTTGACATTATCCCATAGATCTACTAATTCACCAGCTAATTTAATAAATGATAATGTAAATGATAATGTACCTTGGAAGCTGGTGACGTTTCTCAAATGAAATTGTGAGAATGCAACACTGGCAACATCAGACGTGATGCCACCAACGAACATGGGTGAATTGAGCTTCAAGTACTCCCTGGTGCCCTCATTAATAATACTCCTGGCAGGTCCCCTATCCACCCTCAACGTAAAGTTCTTCTTAACGGCAATGAGTTCAGCCATGTGTGGCTTGCCATCTGATACCATTTCGTAGCTGTACATCGTTGAGGTGGGATAATTTCCAACGTCGTAAGAAACACGTACACGACCATTGAACAGTTCGATTGCAATGTGTTCACCACTTTGGTCCATTCCATTGTACAGTATAACACCATTTTCGTGGGTGGTTGTGAAGACGATGGTCACATTAGCCTCGGGCTTCGTACGAAGCGGCTCAAGCTCGACCAGCGAGCTGTTATCCACGAAGCTCAGGCTCGTCAGGTACTCGCATCGTTTTCCTGTTGCATTGAAAAGACCAAAGATTGTGAAAATTAGACTATATTATCTTTAGGTATTGGGCGTAACGTGAAATTTTTGCGTGCGTAAAATCTCCCTTTCCACACTTATGACGAAAAATAGGGTTCGACACTCGTGGTAAATAGTATATTTCGATACAAGTGCGTAGAAGTATTCTTTGACCCTTAGGAGAGTACACGAAGAAAAAGGTGAAGGCGAGACCGCGCTGACATTTGAAAGTCTCTGCACGGAGAGAAATATTCAATAAAAATTACGGAAAATCTTTTCCGTAATCCCGGAGCGAAATGTGGTTATAGGAAGTTTTACGGAACTGTCACAGAATTTTTCCAGAGCGTTCCGTAATTTTTATCTGAATCTTCTGTGAAAAATTACGACCCCGTCACATAAATTTTCTGAGTGGATTCCGCAATCGGTGAGCGAACTGTGAGTGCCGTAATTTTTACTGAACATTTCTCTCCGTGCGGGTATTATGAAGACGATTGTAAAAGTTCAGATTATGTATTGTAGGTGAAAAATGGGAAAAAATCAAACTCCGAGATTTTCGGAAGGTTCTAAGGGTCAGAACTGCTGAGATTTAGTATGATTTACTGATTTTCCAAATATCCCACGATCCACATGCTGAACACTATTTTGTCATTGAAGGTCTCAATGCAAAACATCACATGTGTGAAAAAATGAAGGCACTCCATTGTGTGTAATACATCATCTTTTCAAGTAAATATTGTGTTGGTGTTGAAGTAAACTTTTTTTTTGTGAGAAATATTAAACTTTGTCAATTGGTTGTTTTAGTTAATGTTTCAATATTTTGAAAAAAGAGGTTTTGAAAAATGTCAAAAAAGTCTTTCGAAATTCTTCGGTAAATTCAGTTTTCTAATATTTGGAAAATGAGAGGAAAACTCGAAAGACTGAAAAGGGACTTTCAATGTCAAATTAAAGTTTTTTGTACAGATTTCCTGATGATCCCGAAGATACTAGCGAAATAATCAAGAAAATAGAAAGATTTGTAGATAACGAAGAACGTGATGTTGATCATTCGATTATGAATCTGTTTCCTATAGATTCCTTCGATGTAAGAATGAAAGGGTTGTTTGGCGTAATGTTAGACTTACCAGTATAACCGGGATGGCACTGGCAGAGATAACCCGCGGCGGAATCAGAGGAAGGCTGGAAGCAAGCGCCATGCTGACAATCATGATGTGCACATGGACTTGTTTGCGGATAGAGCATGGCTGTCGATGGCGCTGCCTCGCAGTATCTCCCTGTATAATCCGCCGGGCATTTACATTCGTAATTGTTTATGCCATCGATGCAAGTAGCACCGTTCTGAAAACCGTAAAAAATTCATCTTTACAATCCGTAATAACATTTTTCAAGGAAGAATTACTTAATTAAGATGAAATTGTTTCCATCAATATCGTCTTTAGTAGAGAATGTTATGGAACCTTTCATGAAATTTTTATGATTTATAAAAAGGTTTCAGACATTTGTTCCATAAAATTTGCATGGGGCACTAAATTTTATTAAATCGAAAAATTTCGCTAAAATTCTATTGGATTTCTATTTGAGTTTTATTGAAACTGTCAACTCCCATATGACCTCCATGATCCCTATGCTGACTCTTGTGACCCTTAATTTGACTCTCGTGACCCTCATTCTCACCCTCACCTCTTGTGACCCTTATTTTGATCCTTCATTTCTGACCCTTAATTTTGTAGTCTTAATTTCGAGCACAGAGAGATGTCGAGCCCCTCATTTTGACCCTTAGTTTTTTACCCTCATGACTCTTATTTGGATCCTTAATCTGACCTTTGTAACCCTTAATCTGACCCTTGGGACCCTCATTTGGATCCTTAATCTAACCTTTCTTATAACTCTCATGACCCTTAATCTGATCCTTGTTACATTTATTTAGACCTTTAATCTGACCCTTGTGACCCTTAGTCTGACCCTTGTGGGCCTTAATCTGACCCTCGTGTCCCTTATTTTGAACCTTGTGGACCTTATTCTTACCCTCATGACCCTTGTGACCTTTAATTTCCGAGTCATAATTTTGAGTAGTAAATTTGTATCATCAGAAGTCGATTTGGATTTTCATAATGTAGAGAGATTGTATTGGATTTTCGTCAATTGTACTGGAAAATTCAGCAACTTCTGTGTTTTTATTTCAATACAAGCAATGTTACAGAAAAAATGAATACAATTCGATATTTCGACACAACTTTTTGTATTGAGACATTTTCGATAAAAATTCGTCGGCCAAAATTTTCGAAGCTTTTTTTGTTTGATTTTTTTAATAAAGAACAAAAAAGTAGAGTGAAAACAAACTTAGAAAATTTATGTCGAGGAATTCCTATAGAAAATTCCACTAATTTTTCTACAAAATCTCTTCTATTGGACATTTTTATGAACAAAAAGAGCACTAGAGCTCCACAATTTTTCAGTAAAATCGCCGTAAAACTCATAGAATTGACGATACAAGTTCAATATAAATCAAATAGAATTTTCCAACAAATTCGTTACGCTTTTTTCAAAACTTCACTGAAAAAGGATTAAAAAATTGAAAATCATCTGAGTAGTCCACAATTTTGTGTAAATTTATTTATTCGTTGTTACCTGGCACAGATGATCAACGCAGTCATCCAAATTTGTGGAACAATTAAGGCCTGTGAAGCCGATCGGGCACTCGCAGCTGTAGTGGGTCCGGTGGTCGACGCATCGTCCTCCGTTCTCACATGGATCATGTCCTTTTGAGCAAAAGGGTATTTTCTCCTGGCAGTATTCTCCCATGTATCCCGGTGTACAGTCGCATCTGTAGGCCTGTACGAGGTCCACACAGGTTGCGTTGTTTGCGCACTTGTTGTTCTGACAGTCGTTGACATTGTTTTCACATCGGAGACCCTCGTAACCGGGGGCGCAGTCGCAACTGTCACACATTGACTTAACGTGAATTGAGAGATAAAGCTCGTCGATTGGATCTCGATCGATCCACCAGCAATTTTATCAGCGATAAGCCAAATTTTTTGAATTTTGAATAATTCAACGTCGAGAGAAAAGAAACAAGTTCTTAAACAAGTCTTGTTTGGGCCAACAAAATCGCTAGTTAAAAATTATAAAAAAAGAAATTGTTTGATTCAAACATGAATCATTGCTCTGCTTTCGACAACAATGAAATAAATGGCTCAAGAGGCGGATGATTCACACGAGACGGTACCTTTTCAGGATGAAAATATCTCATAGAGGAAAGTTTATCAAGAAAGATTGCTATCATATTATTATTATTTCATTGAAGGATTCATTTCTTGTCTGTGATTATTGAATAGCCGAAACGAGAAACTACTATCCCTTGTTTCGCATAAAATGAACATTTTCCGGGAGCAAAATACATATGGAAGTGTCGAATAACGAAGAAGTCGTACTAAAAATGATATTTCTTGCTTGCACAGAGAATACAGTTTTTTTGGAATTACTAAATCTATTCTTGCGACGAAAACTTTCCATCTTGGCGTACTCTCTGCATGCTTGGTACAAGTAAGACTCGTTTGAAAACTCTATTGATTTTCTCTCAGTCAAGGAACGAACTTAAATCGCCCTTTATGCCTCGCAAAACGACAATTTTGGTGAAGTGGTGAAAAGAGATGAATTGAAAATTTCATGCAGACATGCAATATTACGAACATCTCTAAAGCGAATAGATTTATTGACAAATATCGAAGAATTTTCTTTTCAACCACTACGTTCTCGATCTAGTAGAATGTTGTGAACAGGGATAACCATATTCATTAATTGTAATTATCGTTAAATTATTAAGTAGTCAATTAGTTAATATCACTCGTAAATTTTTATTATTGGAGTAATTATCATTTTAAATATTCAAATTCCAAATTATTTCTTGATCACTTATTGAGTTAGGAAGATTGACGATTATTTGGATCATCGGAAACCCTTATAAGAAATTTAGTATTATTTACTTAATAAAAAATTTACAGATCCATATTATTAAATATTTAATTCATCATTAGTCGGAAATTTAGATTACCAATTATTTTACTATTTTTAAATTTTGATTAACATATTTAAACCTTGATCGATGTAAGTCGGAAATTACTATAATATTGAAGAATCGGAAGATTGATGGCCATCCCTGGTTGTGAAAACTACTAGGTTTTTCGGAAAATGCCCTCTAACAATTTTCTCTAAACCTCTTATGAAGACATTTCCAAGAGATTTCTCAAATAGAAAAAATTACTCATCCATTTTCTTCACTTCACCTCAATGAATAATCATGCAACAAAAATGATTTCGTGCCAATCTTCAGCGTAATTTGAATGTCAACAAAATTGGGGAGCCGAGCTTGATCCAACCCGCTCTACACATAAAAAAAATCCGTAAACTAATGAAAACAATCGGAATTGATTGTATTATACCTGAATCTTCCTTCCTCCAGTACTTTGCAAGTTCCGGCGTTCCTGCAAGGATTTCCATAGCACGCGTCAATTTTATGTTGACACCTGTCCCCGTGATATCCTGGCGTGCACTTGCAATTGAACTTCCTGTCCGGTAATGTCTCACATAATCCTCCGTTTTGGCATGGGTATGTGTAGCACACATCGCACTTTGCCAAGACCTCGGCAGGCTGTTGTTTGGCTGCACGGAAGAAATGTCTACGATTAATGAGCAATTTTAGTACCGTTCTGAGGGTTTTGACCAAAAATAAACAAACTAAATAGACCAACTCCATTCAATAAAAAATAAGAACACTTTATTACGCGAAAAATAAGTTTTTTCAAGCCAAAATAAATCAAATGTTAATGTTAGTTAGATGAATTAAGGAGACAAACTGCAGATGGAGCAATTTTTATGGAATTCGTTTCGGTAGGGATTGATTTTCTCTGGGGCCATTGAGGCATTACATAAGCAATTGACATTTTTTGACAATTGTTACTCCTCCCCCACCGCTCTATCCAAGCAAGTGTATAAATATAAAAATGCTCTTCTACTTTTGTAGTCGAACATCAGAGCTTTGATTTGACCCCTATTTGAGCCTAACTTTACAATGATGTTATTATTTGAACCTTGTAGATCTGAATTTGAATCTCTATATTGAACCGTTAGAAAACATTATAAAAATCTGAAAAAAATAGAAAGTTTACTTTTGGAGGCAGATTGATTAAATAATTAAAAAATTGCAATTTTTGAAAATTAGGAGCATTTTCTACCAATAATTTATAAACTATAAATTTTCAATTATGAAAATCATTTGTTCGTAATCGTAACAAATTTATTCATATTCAGAATTTTACCAGAAATCGATTTCATGCCTAAAAAAATTAGGTTTCGAAAGTTTAAACAATTTTCGTTATTCATTTATAAACACCGAATGTTCAAAAAATAGTAATTCTGTGCAAAATGTAATTTGAACATTCATGATTTGTTCAACTTTTTCTCACGCAATTGAATTCAGTAGCGAAGTGGTAAAACGGTTTAAGTCGACTAATCTCCCAGTTGAGTTTTTGAGGAATATTTTCGAATCTAAGGGAGATAGCGAAATTTTGGTAATTACATTTGTTGCAGCACTTAATCGGCTCTACAAAAAATGTTATAACAAAAATTTTCCTATCTCCCTTAGATTCCGAGATATTCATTGAAAACTAATCAATAGTCAAAATTGACTTGTCCCAGTTTACCACTTCACTACTGAATTGACAAATTTGATGTTTGAAAACGGCTGAATCTACACCCTGTGTCTATATGAACTTTTAGAATTGTGTTTCCTACTACAATTATTAATTTTTATCGACTCGATCATTGCATTGTTGAGGAAATGAAGTAGTTTCATAAAAAACACAATAATATTTGCCGGAGAAAAGACAATTTTAAAGGCGTTCTTGAACATTCAACAAGATCAGACAATCTCAGTGGTTCACCCCTCGCAAGGGTCAGACATGCCGCAAAGTCAAACGTTCCTCAGACTCAAAAATTATCAAGAGTCAGGCGTTCTTAAGAAACAAATTTGATCCTTAGAAAGGGAACAAAATAAGTCATATTCAGCGTATGTATATGTCAATATGTGTCAGAATTTTTTAACCCTTCTCTCTTCGAACTATGCTTATCTAATACTTGAATGACCCCTGTACAAAATACTATTAAATCTTGCATCCTTTCCGAAATATTCTTGGAAGGATTAAAACGAGATAAAATTGACGCATTTGCTGAGTGAAATTAAGATTTTTTTTCTATTTCATTGAAAACTTATGAACTTCTTAAGAAGGAGAGTTGATTTTTAAGATACTGTTAGTGGTGTTAATTCATCCCCTTATTTCATTTAAATAATAAATCTAACAATCACGTTAATTGAAACTTACTTTTGCATTGGAAGGCGCTGGCGGGAGCTGTTAACAATAATTTCTCCTTCATGGCAGGCGGCTCCATACACCGGGCGATGCCAGGCTCAACGTCCTGGTCCTTCTTCACCCACTCTGCTAGCCACCGCATGTGACAGTCGCAGTAGAGTGGGTTCGACCCTAAAGCTCTGCAAGTTGATAGAAAGTGTTTAGAAGATGTTTGAAAGAATATTTACACTGGAAATTGGTTTTTCTGGGCACTTACAGGTGTGTTATCGACTCTAAGTCATCGAAGGTCCCTTCTGGAATCACCGAAATGTCATTTCCGTGGAGGGAAATTATTCTTAAGGATTTTAATCCTGATAAGGCGTTTCGTTGAACACATTGGAGTTTATTGTAACTGATTATTCTGGGAAAATACATAAACATGATTATTCAATGAGGAAATATTTGTTGAAGGAATTGGTGGGGAGAAAACTATCAAAAAATATTTTTTGTAGGAAATTTTATGGGTGACAAAAATGCTTATTGACGTTATTTGCTAAAACTAATAATTTAAGGCCCGGTTAGACTATCTTTCGAACGTTATCTCGACTGTTTTTCCATCTTCATAATGTTTGCAAAATATATCACAATTTCCATTGGATTTTACATCAGGCAGGAGTCCTTAAAAATTATAATTGTACAATCAAAAAAAGTAGAAAAAAACTGAACATTTTTAAAGAGCGTTTTTAATAAAGATTAAGAAATAAGTCCGATAGAGAGGGAAGAGTGAATGGATAATTTATTATGGTAAATAACGATCTGAAAGCCATTGACTACTGTGACAAATGGTGACCTAACAGCTATTAGATACATCAAATTATTAATTTGCAATTTCCTCCCTATTGGGTTTATTTCCCAATATTATGCAAAAACGCTTTTTGAAAATGTTCAACTTTTTTTCAACGTTTTTTTGATTGCACTATCATAATTTTTTGAAACTCCAGGGCTATGTAAAACTGAATAGCAATTGGAGATAATTTCAGATTATCAAAATGAAAAAAACAACCAAGATCATGTTCGAAAGATAATCCACCCGGGCCTTAAGAGATATTTACAGAATAGTAGTGAGGGTGAGCTTGAAATGCACTATGTCACATATATCTCTGAAACTAGCACTTTTAAGGAGAAATGTCAAAGACCTTATGTCAAAGGACCTTTTTGCAGCTCACGAAATTCTCTACAAAAAATAAACTTGATAGCTTTCAAAATTGTAACTCAATTGTTTATTTAACATTGGTGATTAATTTACTTACAAGTGCGATAATTTCGTTAAATTCCTAAACGTATCGTTGGCAAGCATTCCAATCTGATTATTACTCAGATCCCTGCAATAAAACATGAGTCATAAGTACATTAAGGAGGATTCATGATGATAAGAATAATTCTTGAGCAAACGAAATGATCGGAGAGCACTTCAATCTCCTTGTGTTTTCAGTCAAGTGCAATCAGTTCGGGTAATAGGATTCCCCCCTCCCCCCGTCCCTCTGTGTAATTAAAAAGTTTCAGTATGAGTGTTTACATGAGATAACGTGGCTTTCATCAGAGAAATTACACAGTTTTAGGTTTGTTCAAATATTTGGCCCCCCTGTGTATTTACGGTAACGCTCGTGTAGTAGAAGTAATGCGGAAATTTTGGTTGTGAGATTATAATATAGTTGGGGTATCCCTTTGTCCTGTGGATTGTATTCAATGCACACAGAATTTTTTCCATGTTTTCTGTTTGTATACTAATTCATCGAACTATGAGCTGTAAAACGAGATGAGTTGAACATCCAGAGAGAATTATACTATCGAAAAATTGGTAAAACCGAGAAAAGAATATTGGCCTATTTTTTGCTAGACTGCATAATTAAAATTGAATATCAGGCACATGTTTAGACAAAGTTGAGAGACAATGAACAAAAATATAAATACTATAGTCAAAAACGAAAACACTGTATTAATGAAATGTAAGATTTCTATACTTTAAATAGTGGAAAGAACGAAAATCTCCAGAATTTGAGGAAAATTTCAAAAGTTCTCATTTGCAGAGCACAAAAATCTCAAGAAAGAAAGTCTCTTCCTATCGAAAATATTTGCAATATAATGTGCATGACTATTTTTAAACTCCAAAATAATTGAGGAATTAACATACGACCATTTTTCGAGTAAGTTTTATTGAATGTAAATGTTCTCCTAGAATTATTCGTTTATATATGAAGACGTAAATTCTCAATTGTTTAATTTTACGTTTTTAAGTTTTCATTTGAGTAAAAATTACATCTAAATTATTTTGATGATTTGTCTTATATCTCTCCATACCCTAAATATTCGAAAAAAAATTCGCAATTCATATTCTTCTATTCATCTCCTTTTATCGCTTCACGACAGAATCATAAATATATCCCATTTCTTCATGTTCTATACTATTACTTCGCTCTATTTATTTCAAAAGTCCAACTGAAACTATTTGATCTCGAAACAGGAAACCCAATTCCCTCAAATCTTTATATTTCTTCCTTTGCTACAAATACAGTCTCCGTATCTTCCTCCTTGAAATTATATTTGAACTGCCCCAATACTGCTATTTAATCTGAAGAAAAAACAATGGAAACCCAATACTCACAATCTAGTGAGCATTCTCAAGTGGCTAAGTCTCTCGGGTTGGATTGTTTTTATATCATTGACGTCTAGATACAGCTCAGTGGTCTCCGGGGGTATACCTCGAGGTATTTCAGTGAGATGGGATCTTGAGCAACTGACAACCGAGCCAGCGCAGTGACACCTCGGTGGGCAATAATCATCTCCGAGACAGCCAACGCTATCACCTGAAAGTGAAAAAGATAAACATCATCATTAGGGGAATCTTGGCAATTGTTTTCTTGCAAACGAGATCAAACAATGTTAATTATTACATTATCTCATTAATGACATGAGAAAAAAACTATCCAGACATTTTTTTACTGGAAATTTCTTTTGAAATGTTTACATTAAATCAATCATTGTTAATAATGAATTCTCGAGAGCGTTGTTTGTGGTAATTGTTAAATTACCGTGGGGATGAGTGATGCCACAGACAATTTTCAAAGGAAATTTTTTGTAGAAAATTTCCTCAGCTGTGAGAAAATTCTTTTGATCTTTTCGAATAAACTGACTCGCGTGGTAGATAATTTTTCCTCGCTAATTTTCTAATTATTTTCAGTAATGAGTGATGCTTCAACAAAATGCCAACAGCCTTCTTTGTAAGGAATTTCCTTGACTGGATAAAAGGACTTGAGACATTGCATATCCTCAATAATTACAGAATTATCATGAATAAATTTTTAAGAACTTATTCTTAAAAAATGCTAAAAAATCAATTTTTTGTAACCAATTTTAGTCAATTTGACCAACCGAACCATTCAAGTAATTTCCTCCTTCAATATTCTTTGATGTTAGAAAGATGACTGCATAAAACAATTTTTATTCTGCGCAGCGAAATAATGTTCCTCTGCACGAGGAAGTAAATTACATAAACGTAAATTATTCAAGTCTCTAAAAACTCCCGAGTCTGAAGGACTGTTTTATAGATCTCAGGATGTTTATTCTCAATGAAATGAAAAAAATTAAGGAACTAGTGAGGCTGGAAATATGATACTGACTGTTGCACTTGAACTCATGCCTCGGAATGTCTTTGACATGGGCGTCCTTCAGTCTCGGTGGATCGTGGCACCTCCCTATGGTGCCTGGCATATCACGAGTCCTCAGCCACTCAGCGAACCAAGCAAGATAGCAGTTGCACGATAGCGGATTTCCCTGCATGTCACTGGAATGAACGAATTATCTTGGTCAACTTCAACAACTTCAATTAAATAATTTATTTTCTTGTGATGTTATTTTTTATTTTCTTTGTCTTCAATCAAATTCTGTCGTGGGGTAAACGAATTTAATTTGAAAATGAAACATGACGTCTGCATTAATTATCAAATTATCTGGATGGAGTCATGTATGAAAACTTCAAATAGAAAATTCAACCGCTGTCGCTAGATTTTATCATTTTTTATTCTATTTTTTTTAGATTTTCCAATCTGAATTTAATATGAAACTGATCCGGTTGCGATTTTTCTAATAAAGTCGTGAACATCAATTTTTTTAATAGTTATTCTCTTGAGTTTTGTAATTGGAAACGAAAAATCAAACTCAAAAAATTAGGAAAATTTGTGCCTGAAAATTTTTATAGGGGCAATCTCAAAAGAATCAATGGTGCAAGGAAATCGGAATCCATTGAATTTTTTCTATCAAATTTTTCTTTACATGACGATGAGAAATTTTCTCAGCTATAAAGAGAGTCATTTTACATTTTCGATGGAAAGCACTAATTCAGTAGCGAAGCGGTAAACCGTGTTAAGTCCATTTTGACCAGTGGCCAGTTTTTGACGAATATCTCGGAATCTAAAGGAAATAGATAAACTTTTGTCACGACCTTTTTTATAGAGCCAATTGAGGGTTATAAAAAAAGTCTGAGAAAAATTTTACTATCTCTCTTAGATTCCGAGATATTCATCAAAAACTGGCCAAAGTAAAAAACGACTGAACGTGATTTACCGCTTCGCTACTGAATTTTTGATTAATGTCAATCGTAATTTTTTCAATTATCGTAGTGATACGTACATCACAAATCATCAGGAATCATCTCTTTAATAGCTGAGAAAATACCCACTAAAACCGGTCTTCACACTGTGTCTCAAAAATATCAATTCCCAAGATAATTGCACGATTACAAAAATGAAAAAGTACATTAGAATTTTTATCGGTCCACTTGATAACTTACATGTTGCGAATGTGGGCGAGCCCCTCGAAGGATCCAGGCATTACACAGGTGATTGTATTTCCCGTCAAGTTGCTGTATAAAAAAGTTTAAAATACAATTACAGAAGTCAGATGAAGGATAAAGAGGAGAAAAACTACGATGAAAATGTACTTACAGTGTTACCAAGTTTGTGAGGCCGGTGAACATTTTATTGTGCACCTCTCTGAGTTTATTATCCGACAGAAGAAGTTCAGTGAGCTTGTGTCCACCCTTGAAGGCGGATGCTTCGATCCGGGTGATTTTGTTTCTGCGTAGATCGAGGTGCTGGAGATCGGGTAATCTCTCGAAGAGATTATCTGCTTTTATTTTCTCGATTTCGTTGTTTCCGAGTAATCTGGTGAGAATTAATTCAATTTTCAAAAGTGAAGATTGCGAGGGAGGAAAGAGTTCGTTCTAATTGTGCGGACGCATTCATCTTAGAATATTCAACAAATATCCTCTTTTCAAGAAAGAATATAACGTTTTTTGTTAACAATCTATTTCACCATGCTTGACGTAAGATTATTTTCATCCTAAATTTGATATATCTTACATATAATGAGAAAATATTTAAAAAAATATATATTTAAGTATGAGAAAATTTTACATATTTAATTTTATTAAAAATGTCGTCATTTTATTCATCTTCACTCTCAATAACTAATTTAAACAGCAATATTTTTCCATTTTGATTCCGTGAAATATCATGACCTTAAAAATGAAAATAATGATTAAAAAAATCAAACAAAATCGAAAGAAAAAGGAATTAAATCCTAAATCGAAATCGATCCCGAATCGAATTTTCCAAAAATTAATCACTCTTAAAAATAACAACAATGAATGAATATGAGCCATCGGTGATGATGATTTAGCTTAACTTGAGAGAAAGAGTTTGGAGAAATTTATCAAGAAATGTTTCTTACAGAGAATCTAAAAATTTCAAAATTTTAAATGCGTTACAAAAATGAAGGGACTTTATTGTGCGTCACAAGTAATTTTATCGAGACAACGCTATGTTGGAGATTCATGCATGTCTTTTTATAACGAGTAATTTGACTGTAAAACATCGCGGGATTTTTCTGAAGGTGAGGAAGTTTCCTACAAAAAAACAGAAAGGGGCGGGGTTTGTTCTAAAAGACAACAAATATTCCATATGTGATGATGATTTAGCTTAACTTGAGAGAAGAAGTTTGGAGAAAGTCATCAAGAAATGTTTCTCACAGAGAATCTAAAAATTTCAAAATTTCGAGAGCGTTAAAAAATGAAGGGTCTCTATTGTGCGTCATGAGTAATTTTATCGAGAAAACGCTCTATCGGAGCTTCACGCATCTCTTTTGAGAACGAATGATTTGACTACAAAACATCGCACGATTTTTCCGAAGATGAGGAAATTTCCTACAAAAAACAGAAGGGGGGGGGGGGGGGGGGGAGGGTTTGTTCTAAAAGAGAACAAATATTCCAATCTATTTTCCGAAATACTTACAACGTTGAAGTGTAAACTGGAAGTTCCCTAGGTATCGAAGTAAGTTTCTTATCCGAACAATCAACAGTAGCTCCATTGCAACTGCATGGGGAGGGACAGGCGCCTGGTAGAATGCACTCACCAGCCCTCTTGGTCAGTAATTTTTCATCACCTAAAATCAGAATTAAGTATCTCATGGGTATCGACTGGCTGAGAACCGAGTGCCTGTTCTACCCCTCTCTGCTCTAATGGAAATATACGAATAATTATTTTCACATGTGGAGAAAAATGTTTGAATTCTGTAATGAAGTGCAGAAAAACAGAAGGTGCAGTCGGAATGTCCAGTCAGCTCGGTAAATAGTAGTTCGAGGGGAAAAGTTAAAACATCCCTTGTTTAGCTGACATTTCCGATAGAAAACGTCTCCGGACATTTTTTAATCTTCTAGTTCCAGATATGTTGACGAAGGAATCTAGATCAATTTTCGGTCAGACGTGAAATCATGATGAATTATTCATATGTCGAGATGGAGTAATTGGAGAATAAAATATTGAAAGACCTTTCTAATGTGAAAAGTCGTTACTAGGAAATTCTATTGAATTTCTATTGAAACTCTGTTGGAATCGTTTTTTTCACATGATTTTTGTTTCAGATATATTTGATAGAAAAAAGTCAAGTAATTTTGATTCGTTTTGGACATAAGTTTTCTATATTTTTTCCACTGAATTCTTTTTTCCTCATTAGAAAATTCATGAAAAAAATATTAAAGGAATTCATGTCTCAGAATTCATAGGAGAAAATCCAATAGAATAAGTTGAATAGAAAAATTAACATATATGAGATCCACGCCACATCAACAGACCGAAAAAGCTGATGCTGCGGATTTTCGCCTCAATTTCTTCCTGAAACGATGGATATTAAACAAAAATTTTGAAAAACAAATTGAAAAATATTAATAATTGAGGGAGTTATGATTTTCCGAAAATTTAGATTTTTTTGCAATGATTTTTATTTGCTCGAAATGGACTCAAAAATCTCAACAGGGTTTCAAGCTATCAAATCGTCCTTTGGCAAACTCAAAGAACATGAAAAACTCTTCAAAATGAGACGTCATACATAGCATTATCTGCAGTTTGACGGGGTTTTATATGAGAAATCATATTTTTTCAAGATGAAGATATAATGAGTCTAAACTTCACCATTTGCAAATATTTAATTGAATATTTATTTATTTGGGTGATAATTGCATGAATAATAGCGACTTTCGATTATTTTCAATACTTGTCGCATTGGACCGACGGCGGTGGCTGTGTGGTTAGATTGTGGGATTGGCATGCGGGAGACCCAGGTTCGATTCCCGGCTGGGGGGGCCAAAATTTGTGACACTCTAAATCTCACGGTTTTATTGTCGAGCGGGAGTCTCGCAAGAGACGACTGTACCTGGGCAGGTTTTTCCCTCAAATGAGGTTTTCCCTTGTCCTTCGGCGAATGCGGTGCAGGGGGTTTGGGGTGGGAAGGGAACAAATCGTAAAGATCCGAACGGTATACGAGAAGAAAAATTTTTACTTGTCGTACTAGTAAAATAAAAATTTTTACTTTACTAATTGAAAAAATTAATAAAGCCAAAATTCTTGTCATTTCGATGACCATTTTTGGTGAACATTTTAGCCTGTTGAAAAATTAGGTTTCTGAGTAATTAACGATGGAACAAAAAATTCTCGTATAAATCCCGTCAAACTGAACTTTATAGCTTAAAACCCCGCTGACATATTGGGGCCAATTCGGAACAAATAAAAATCATTTTAAGAAACTTGAAATTTACAGTAAATAATAACTTTCTCAATTATCAATATTTTTCAACTTTTTTTTTTAATTTTTGTCTAATAATCACCGTTTTAGGAAAAAATTTAGACGAAAATCCTCAGCATCGACTTTCTTGGTCTGCCGATTGGACATGGCTTTACTCATATCTATTCTTTCCATCCAAAATGTATTACAAAATTGCAAAATCACCTGATTTTCAATGAATGTTGAATGGAAGTTTTTTAGAATTCTAATAGACTTCTACCGAACTTTTCCACTTCATTATTCCACCTGGCCAATAAATGGTAAATATGTGCATCAAATGTAATAACATTTTCACCTATACATATTTCATCTTTATTTATTTTGAATGAATTAGAAAGAAAAATTTGAAAATGTAATTAGATAAATTTTTACTCCCAGGAAATGTAATTTAAAAAAATCCCAATTTGAAAATTTAATCAAATAAATTTTTACTCCCATGAAATGTAATTTCAAAAAAATCCTCCCTCAAAAAAATTATTACTCTTTTCTCCTGAAACGACTCATCAACTCAATGAAACCAGATAATCAATTAAGCCTTTGAATTTTAAAGTTCAAAACAAATTCGCAATTTCTTTTGCAAATACCTCTGAAATACCTAGGTTTAGAAAAACATCATAAAAAAATTGTTTTATGAATGATTTTCTCACACAATTCATGAGTTCCAAAGATATTTCACCAAATTATTTGTATAAAATTCTTCGACCCATCTTCTGTTTATTCAACCTCCGTACAGAATCAAATTCAAACAATAATCATGATTAAATGTATCAGTAAGTAATATCTTCCTCGGTATGATTGGAAATGCGAATGAAATGACGAGGAGATCGCACGATGTTTACACACAAAACATCAGAGAGTTGAACCCATGCAGGGGCTGTAAATACATGGTCTCTAGAATCGAAGATAATGTTAGTACAATTTTTCGGTATTATTAATGATTCAATGCATGCTTCGTCACCTTTTGATCTTGGGGAATATCCAATGACCTTGACTGATGTTATTACGATCTGTGATTGTTAGTTTTTTCAAGCGTACGTACCGTTATGAAAACATTCCGCCAGTTCAACCATTTTATTTTAGAAAATCAGAAGCCAAATAAATGAGGAAAAGAAAGAAATAAACTAAATATTGTTCCTTCTGTTCAATCTTTTTTGTGATCATTCATTCATTCACCCAGGCAGGAGCATTCGCGTGCAGTTGACGAGAGCAAAATCATAATACAAACAAAACGATTTTAGATCAAGGGGAGTTTAGCAGACGTGATGAAGTCACTTTCTCTCTTGAGGTGATGATGGTGATGGGCATGAAGAAGCGAGGATTGTTTATGCTTGGTGGTCCATTTTGATTGGATGAGGAGTGATAAGGTTACCGACCTGATACCATCCTGTCGAAGTAAGAGAAGATACCGGAAGTCGAATCGTGCTTACCCTTACATTTGAACTTTTCATCCCGCATCACGTCAATCTTCCGTTTGGCAGCGCGCTTTGGTGACTCGCATTTTGCTCCGGATGTCTCGATTGGATGCTCGTGGAGGTAGAGGGACAGCCAGCGCAAGTTGCAGTCGCAGATGAACGGATTTTTCGCTAGATGCCTGTTTGAAGAGAAGGAAATTGCATGACTGATCAATTATTTCCGTCAATTCGAAAGATATCGAGTGGATTTCTCTATTTAGTGGAATATTGTTGGTTTCCAAAAGCAAATGATCTTATAATTTTTGGTTTTAACTGAAGTAACGAAAGAACGTCAGTAGATGGGCTCAAAATGACTCGATTTAGAGGAAGATGCTAAAGTAGTATATCCAAACTCCACGTGAGTCGTTTAGTGTAATGAGGATAAATAAATGTTAATTTCATCGTTGATAATTTTTTATATGGATTCCAACTTTGATGAGTGTGAGATACTAATCTATCAAATTCTCTGACGATTATTTTCTTAAACAATAGTCTCTCGTTTCACTAGGGCAACCCTTTACTCTCGGGGTACCCATGAACCTAAATTATTCATTACGAAATTTTGATACTGACGATAACGTTCGTATTAGGCTTAGAATTTTTATCATTTTTTTCTAATCTTTCACGATTTATTCTACATTTTAATCTTCACGCTCGAATAATTTATTTTCTCATGAGAGTCTGGGTTATTTTGCCTAGGATATTTTGACTAAGATGTTTTGCTTCATATTAACTTCCGTTTAGAATTTACTTTACATTTTACTCTTTAAAATTCAGATTGTATTTATACTACTTTAAGATACTTTCTTCTACATCATAAAATTTTCTTTAAAAAGTCTTTGCAAAAATTTATTTGAACCTGTTGCACTCAAAGATTTTAACAATATAACTGCAAAATAATTTCTGCAATAATTTTCTCATTTTATTATTTCGAAGAAGTCCATGCAGATTATTCTGCAAATACCTCTAGAATTATCAGATTTATCCCAAAGTGTCATGAGAACATTTTTGGATAACATTAAAATCTCTCCAAAAATATTATCGCAACCTTTTCGATTCGAAAATTTCTGGGAAATAATCTGCACGTAATTTCTGCAACAATTGGCTTCACTCAAAGAAATTATCTTATCATAATTTGAAAAGAGCAAATAAAAGAGAAAAAAAGGTTTTTTATCAACTTACAATGTCCGAATACTCCGTAAATTAGTGAAAGTTCCATTAGCCAGAGACTTGATATTATTGTCATATAACGACAAGAGCGTGAGACTAGTCAGATCACGAAACAGATCAGTTCGTATGCAGGATATATCGTTAGCATTCAGTAGACTGTAACAATTCAAATTTTGATTAATCGTCGTGTCTCCATATGTACAGTAATGAATACAGAGTGAGGTATAAACATGATATCCCCAGCCAATATAAACTCGAAAATAACTTCTATTTAGTGGTGGAAATGTTTAATTGGAACTCACAGCAACTGTAAACTAGTTAAGCCCTGGAATACGCCACCGGGTAGCTCGGTGATTTTATTTCCGTAGAGAACACTAAAAACAGAATGTATGTTTGTCATCAGAAATTCTAATGAACTCATGAATTTGTTTTTCACTTCTTTCTGTTTTTGTTGATTAATTACTCACAGAGATTCGAGGGATTTCAATCCGTGGAATGCGTCTGCTGCTACTTTTTTTATTTTATTGTTGCTCAAATCACTGGAAATAAATAAAATAAATGTTACAAAAATATAAACAACAATTTTTCAGATTATTGTTAAGTCTATTAATGCATTGAATTTGAATTGAAGGCAAATTATTTAATAATTGATGAAGGTGTATTGATTTCAATGCATAAATGACTCAATTGTGTTTTGAAAATAATTCCTTACATTCTCACTAATTTCCTGTAGGGAGAAAATGCCTTCGGTGGTATTTCAGTGATGGAGTTCTGCTCCAACCGTCTGTAAAAATAGAAATGATAATTACTATTCATTTTGAGGATTTACCAGACGGCTTAAATCGCGATAAATTTCAATTGAGATGAACTCACAATTCAATTGTGTCCTCGGGCAAGTGAGTGGGCACTTTCTCCAAGGAAGTCGATCGACAATGAACTATTCCACTGGCACATCTGCACGGGTGAGGGCACTGCGGCTCAGCAGTGCACTCTGAACCAGCCCGGAGTTCAACAAGCCCTAAACACTTGAATTCGTGCTCCTGAAAGTAGCAATTTATCATTGTTATGGGAGACATTTGACCATTGAGATAATAAAACATATCACAATGGGAGGGACCAACTTGATTTTTTAGTTTTTCAAAATGTGAATTTATCTCAGTAATTGGGGATTGGAGGTGGAAACGTCTGAATGTATTTTTTGTACAGGAGAAAATTCTCTGTAAGAAACGTCTTTTGATATTGACCCCTGACATGCAGTTATTTTTTAATCCCCCTTTCCTTGCACATCTGGGTCGACTCGACCCACAATTTTTATCATATATCTTAGCTCCTATTTCTCCGATTAAATTAATTTTTTTAACGCACGATGTTTGATAAATCTCATGACAAAAAGCATAGTTATTCAATTCTCCAGAAATAGATTAACGAGTAAAGTTTTGATCTGGAAAAGAGCGCTTATGACAGAATTTCCTAGGGAAATGCATATTTTGGTCTTTCATTAAGAATGTCCAAGTGTCTTTCACAGTTTGGGATAAACCACACTATAGATTCAACCATTTTCAATCATCAAATTTCTCAACTGAATTGCGTGAGTAAAATTTGAAAAAATCATGAATACTCAGCATCATTAAAATTACATTTTGCATAGAATTGGTATTTTTTTAAACATTCGTAGTTTGTAAATAAATAATTGAAATTGTTTAAACTTTCGGAAACGTTATTTTTCTAGGCATGAAATCGATTTTTAGTAAAATTCTGAATATGAATAAATTTGTGAGGATTCCGGACAAATTATTTTTATTGGAGAATATCTCAAAGTCTATAGAAGATAGAATTTTTATGAGAGCGCTTCTCTATAGTTCTCACTTTTCTTTATACTTCCATGTAAAAATCATGTTAGAATTGAAGTCCGCTAAATAGCAAAATTGTTATCAGAATTTTTTTGTAGCTCTAAAGTTTCTGTGCAAAATCAATCCATCTTTGTTACTATCGAAAATATTCTCAGTTTAAGGCCCGAATGGATTATCTTTGGCACGTTATCTCGACTGTTTTTCCATCTTCATAATCTAAAATATCTCACAATTTCCATTGGATTTTACATCCCGTAGGCGTTCCTGAAAATTATTATTCTAAAATTTAAAAAATAGAAAAACAGAAACAGAAAATTATCAGAGTATTTTTAATACAGATTATGAAATAACTCTAATAGAGAGGAAATTGTAAATGACTAATTTATCATGGCAATTACCGATCTGTTAGCTATTAGATGCAGGAAATTATTAATTTGCAATTTCCTCCCTATTGCAGTTATCTCCCAATATTATTCAAAAACGCTTTTTGGAAACGTTCAGTTTTCTTTCAACGTTTTTTTTTATTGTTAAATCATAATTTTTAGAGACTCTAGGGCTATATAAAACTCAATGGCATGGAGAACATTTCAAATTATCGAAATAAAAAAAAAATCACGATCGAAAGATAATATACTCGGACATTAAAAAGGCAACTCTCTTCCTATTTCAACGACTCCATTACTCCCTCACCTGCCATTATCTCTGAATCGAACAGACATACGGAATTTTTCACTCGAACTCTTTTCGTAGCTATTAATTACCCCGACAAAATTTTCCTCATAAAGAACCGTCCATATATCTTACATCTCAAGTTACCAATGAGAGACTAAACGAAATGTAGTAAAACAGCTATTCTCAGTCCTAAAATTGAAACTTTGTTGATAATCTTCATTTTCATTGTAATAAAAATGAGATAGGTGCACGTGGCGCAATAAATTTCTCAAAAACACCCGTAAACAAACAAAAATAAATATCTCAAAAATATGTTAACGCTTGAAAACGTCGCATTTCCAGTACACGTTTCCCCATACATTCCGACATCTTGGCATTTGATTTACGACTGGCGTATTTAAGGAAATTTATCTCGTTGCCCACCCACGGAATCGACATTTTACGCGATATCCAAGTGGTCTCGGGACAGGCAAAAGAAGAAAATGATCGAATCCACTGGCCATTTCACCCTGTCGTTACCTTTATGGTTACCATCTTTTTCCCAAACGTTAAAAACAGGTTTTTTCCTCCTTTTTCTTGCAATATTGAGGGAATATATCCTGGCTGCACATGGGGGGGAATTGTGTGTTTATGTACCTGTAAATTGGCAAGCTCTTGTCCTTTGAGGTGAGCCGGTGAGGCACATTTGGTATGCTGGCCAAGTCGTGGCATGCTCTTGAGGTGCCTCGACAACCAGGCAAGCTGACAGTCACAGGCCAGAAAGTTGTCGGTTAGTTTGAGTGTACGTAAACGAGATAAACCGAAGAGCATCTCCTTACCAAGGGTTGTCAGTTTGTTGTTGTTCAGAGTTCTGTAAAAATTGATTACTTCATCTTCATTATCATTGACGGGACAATTCAATCGTGTACGAAAAACTTCTATTCAAAGTTCTCTTTGTTCTATTCCCTCTTCTGAAATTCTCACAGCCATAACGGTCATGCATGCGGTCCCTAATTATCTTCGGATAATTAGGTAAATTATATACTATTATATTTTTTGATTTTGTGTTTTAGTGACATTTCCATCAAATAACGCATGGGAAGATTTTGAATTTTGAAATTTGTAAATTGCTTTTAGATTCAATAAATTGCCCTGATGAAAAACTCTTAGTTGGTTTGACACGTCGGTACTGAGAGAATTGTTTTTGTGATTTTTTGTTATGAATAACTTCATTTAATTACAGCGTCGATGACCGTTATGGCTAGGAGAGGTTGAGGAGAAGAAATTTATTGACGCGGTTGAAATATGAGGAAGAAATCTTCTTTGTTCTAGAGGTTGTTAAAATGTTCAATACTTGAAAATACGTTATAAAAAGAAGCAAATAGGTTTTCATTTTCTATACCGGTGAGATTGCTCCTATAAAAATTCTTCACCCTAAATTTTCCAAGCGTTCTTGCTTGAATTTTTCTATGAGAAGAAAGAGGTTCAGCGAAATAAAGTCTAAAAATTGATGCCGAGGTGTTTTGACGGCGGAAATCTCAATAGAATAATTTTTTTTCTTTTAAAATATTATCGATTACTTATAATAGAAAAAAGTGCGGGAAACAATGGGAATCCTCAATGAAATCAGCGAAAACCAATTGAATTTAAATGTTCATTTTGAAAAATTTGATTTGAATATTGTAGTAGGAAATTGAATTATTATAATAATTGCTTAATTGACAATGAGAATTTGAGGAATTCATACTCACAGAATTTCTAAATCCTTTAGTTCCCTAATTGCACCCTCGTCGATGCATGTTAAAACATTATTGTCAAGTAATCTGTAATGAGAAATTAATAATTAACTCTTCATTTTGGATTTTGAGAACAATATGAATCATGTTGGAGGAATTCTTACAGGTGTTTTAAAGCGGAGACTCCACGAAGTGTCTTGGGTCCAACCATTGCAATTTGATTGTGGCTTAAATCTCTGCAAAAAAAAGAGAACACATTAATTCCCTTCACGTGAAAGTTCCCTTCACGCTTCCTCCGAAAACCAGTGATTCCCGACAAAAAATGCAATTGACGAAAATGTAAATTTGTCTATCAGGGGAGAATGAAAACCTCAATGCACACGACCAATCAATTGCTTATCGAACATGAAAATATCTCAAAAATGAGTGATATTATTAAGAAGAATCATCAGGCACATTTTCACAAAGTCCCCAGCTTGAGGAAAGATCTTCACGTACGAAAATTCCTGGTAAATTTCAATTGAAACACTAGAAGAATTCTACCGGAGTTCTCTTCAAAATGCAAATTTTTTAGAATTTCATGACAGATATTCGATTGGAAAAATTTCAATAGATTTTTATTTATCTATGAGTGTTTGTCTTGTGAGCCTTCCTAAGAAACCCGCGGGTAAGAATTATCTGTTTTTTCCCAATATTTTTTTCATTCATAAAACCAAAGAAACCAAAAAGCTGATCTTTTTAACAAAATTAAAAAATATATATGTATATATATATGTAAAAAATTAAAATCTATCAAACAACAAGGAAAGTTTAAATTTAAACAAATATATAATTTTCGAAACAATATGTTAAACCAATAAATTCCCAGAATTGATGATTTCCCATGTACTTCTACACCCCTTAATGTCATTGAACTACGGAAACTTTGACTTTTGCCTCCGCCCCATTATGACAACAGAGCAAGTAAATTATCAAGTTTCTACATAGATCGCAAGTTCGACCTACATACCCAATACATTATTCACCGGGGTCGGCGTCCACTTATTACGCAGTAGTAAGTTAACTGAGGGACAGACAGAACTCAAGCTGATGGGGCTCTAGAGTCCCTTCAGAGTCCAGCAACACCACAACTAGTGGATATGCCCTGACACAGCAAATGGCAAAGTTAGGAGGGTTCTCAGACATCAGAAAGACGAAAGGGGTTTGTTACTTTCCTCCATTGACAACGACAATATTCCCATAGAAATTCAGACAAACCCTCGACAGTTCTACTCTTTTTCCCATCTTTCAGAAGGGAGGAAATACAATTCTCAGTTCATTGGTCTCAGTTCACTCGAGGAGTTTGTACTTGCATTTGAAAGGTAGTTTTCTCGAGTAGCCCTACGTGTCAGAGCGTGGAAAAATGCGATCAATTTGTCTGGCACAGTTGACAAACTACCTTTACACGCGGTTAAGTTTTCTCAACTTTTTAAAGTTTATTATCACGTGTTTTTCTGGGTTAGAAATTGATTCCTATGCCTGGTTAACAATTTGGACTAGTTGTTTTGTAGAAGTTTTTCACGTTTCTACAGAAAGTTTATAATTATTGTAGAAACTGTGGTTGTAAAGTAATGAGGGACAAGGAATTCATAAAGTATTTTTTGAAAATATCTTTGGAATAAGGGGATTTTGAGAGAAACATCTAGAGACGGAACGAATGGAAGGGAAATTTTACCGACTGCGTTTGGTAAAAAATCGTTCTCCATTACAGAAAAATTTTACGCAATATTGAGCAATCATTCACGTTCACTGGGATAATTTTTGATGAAATTCAAGATAAATTTTACATTTTCGGCACAAATTACCCTGATGTTCAGTCAATTTTCCCGGGCCAACGGGGAAAAATTTACTATTCGTCTCGCACTTTTTTCCCGATAGAGTGAAAAAGTACTGACAATCGAGTTTGCTCCACGATAATTCATTAGCGAAGCGATAAACCGGGTCAAATCGATTTTGACTTTTGGTCAGTTTTTGATGAATATCTCAGAATCTAAGAGAGATAGCAAAATTTCTTAAAACCTTTTTTATAACCCTCAATTGGCTCTAAAAAAAGGTGATGACAAAAATTTTTCTACCTCTTTTAGATTTCGAGCTATCCGTCAAAAACTGGCCAATAGGCAAAATCGACTTAATCCGGTTTACCGCTTCGCTACTGGATTTTTCAACTTTTTTCTCCGTGTGTTTTTTAATGAAATTCATTTTTACATGACGGGTTTCTTGACAAGAAAAAGCTCCAACTTCTTTTCAAAATTGTTTCTATTTTAGATAATTTGATGACTTTTGTTGAAAATTCGAGGTCAAATTATCCATCAGCAGAGTTGAAACTGTTCCGTGATGTTAAAACCCAAAGATTGATGGAATCGTTGAAACGAATTCATAAATTTTTAAATTCTCCAATAAAAAATCTCCGTTTTATCTCTGTTATCCATTTATTACCCTCACTTGTGCCATAAAATTACCTCGGATTAATACGTCCATGAAAAATCTAGGTTAAAAGGATTGACTTTTATTTGTATTGATCAAAAATTTACATCTGTACAGAGAGGTCTGTTTGATGCAAATGGACATCATTGAAACGTGGAATTTCTTTTCACCGATGGATATCGAATAAACAGAGTAAAAATGTTTTCGAGGGGTTTACGTTCGATTTTACGCACTATAAAAAGTACATGGAGGGTTTCACAGATATGTACTTGAAATGTGAAAAAACTAGAAGATTCTTTCGATATTTTTTTTTAATGTGCCCATTGCATTGAGGAGCAAAGTAATCAACAGAATAATTTTTAAAAAACGTGTTATTCTGTTTTTTTATATCTGTAGGACGAATGCATGTAGGAACAAACATCAAAGAGCATTTTTTATGAACAATTTGGAGAATGAAAAGCATTTTCCATGACAATTTCATATAAACCCAGTCATTGGGAAAAACGTATATAATTCAATCAAGACTTATTCAATTTTGCTGTTTCATTTTTTCATTGATTTTTGATAAGAAAAAATCAATAGATTTTAATTTTTCTGTACAACTTATTCTGTTGCGATACTTTTGTGAAGAGTCTTCTGCTTGATTTTTTCAAGATTTTTGCGTAGATTTTTTAATTAGGAAAAAAACATAATACCGCAGAAAAAATTGGGAAATGCATGCCCGAAAAAATTCATAAAAGGAATGCCATGAGAATGAGTCATATAAAAAAATCACAATGGTCTGACTTTTCTTTATGAACTTTCAGGAGAGATTGACAGAAATTGAATAAAATTTCATACAAATTTCGTACGCCATAGAAAACTGTTGGACGATATTTTTGTAGACAAAGGAACGACAAAAAAAATAGTCGGATATTTATCTCTAGACACAACTTATGTCATTAATGTCTCAGTATAAACAAGTAGGTATATAAACAATATCAAAAGAATTTTCTTGTTGTAAATTTGACGAAATATAAAATTTTCCTTTTGACATATTCCTTTAAACCTATCCGTGTTCGAGATATTCCCAAAATCCAACACGTCCCCATAATTGTCAAATTTATTCTCCCCTCAATTTTCGTAGGAAAATTACAATCTCCTGATTTTATTTCATAAAATTCACTAAAGACATGAGTTTCCATTGCGTTCCTCATCTTGTGACGTCACAGGATTTAGTAAAAATTCTGTGAAATTCGATGGAAATCGGCAAAAATTGGACGGAATTTCATACAAATTTGATACATCACAAAAAAAACTGTCAGACGACATTTTGATAGACAGACCTGATCATACCTAGGGAATTTGAAACATACACTGAGAGAAAAATGACAAAGTTCTCAAACAAGTCTTACTTGTGCCAAGAAAATAGTTTTTTGAAAATTATCAAAAAAGTTTTTTTTTGTGCCAAACATGCAGAGAGTACGCCGGAATGAAAAAATTTTGTCACAAAAATAGATTTAGTAGTTGAAAAAAAATTGCATTTACTGTGCACGCAACAAATGTAATTTCTAGCACTACTCCTTCGTTATTCGATACTCCCATATGTATTTTGCTCCCGAAAAATCTTTGTTTCATACGAAACAAGGGATAGTAGTTTTTCGTTTCGACTGTCTAATAATCACAGACAAGAAATGAACCCTTAAATGAAACAATAATAATGATATGATAGCAATCTTGCAACTTAGGAATAAAATATTCGTTGATAAATTGTCCTTTACATGAGATATTTTTGTCCTGAAAAAGCACTGTCTGGTGTGAATTATCCGCCTCTTGAGCCAAATATTTCGTTGCTGTTGAAAGCAGAACAATTATTCATATTTGAGACTTTCGAATTCGAACAAAACAAATTCTTTTTTCGCAATTTTGTTGGCTCAAACAAGACTTGTTTGACAACGTGTTTGTTTTTCTCTCAGTGTAGAGTTATGAATATTGGATAAAGCTTATTTTATCAATATCTCATTATGAACTAGTGGTGTATGAACAAAATCACCATAAATTTCTTGTATAGTGAGTCCGATGACCTAGAAGAATTTTCTCCAGACAATCCCAAAATCCAACAATGTCCCCATAATTGTCAACTCTTTCCCCTCTCAATTTCCCTCCGGAATATAATCCTCTCAGAACTACCCCCCCCCCCCCCCCCCCCCCCCCCCCCCCCCCCCCCCCCCCCCCCC